TAAGTTGGAAAATATTCGTGAAGTGACCGTACGAGAAACCGAATACAGTTAGATTATGCAAAGAAGTCCCTAATAATCACCCTGTGACCCTGATGAATCCGTGCTAAATTTGTCATGAGACAGGCATGATCAGAGCATCAGCACGCCATACCAAGAAAGGTGGCCGCATGAAAGTATAGTCACTTCCTATACCTAATTTTGCGATCTCAAGGAGATACTTCATGATTTGAATAGATACTTCATGCGTACTCTACGTGTTTATAGATAAATAAAAGTGATGAATAAGGAGATTGTGGATGAAGTCTCTGCTATTTCCTTGCCTAAATAAACTTGTTTGTTTCTAACATTTTGATACTTATTTGTATGTTGGTTTACGCGTTAGTCCTGCGACCGGGATGAACCCATACTGAGATTTCATCTGTCACATGAAGTGAGGCCAATTAGCGAGCACTTTCAATAATTCTTCTTCAGAATTAAATGGTAAGTCAAATTATATTTACTCTTAAAGTTCTAAATAGTTTGTTTTAGAAGAAGCAACATTTAAGAATTCGTAAACCAAACACGAAACTACGCATAAAATGTAGTTACCAACTGCAAAATAAACTAGAGTTGATTTAATAAAACGCAGTCATATTCACTAAAGCACCAACCCACAACAACCCCTCCTCGCTACAAAATGTTAAACAACTAAAAAAATTAAGGCTATGCAGCTATGAAGACCAAAATAGTGTGTCCATTTGTATGGTCGCAGTCTCCTTTCGTTGTATAGAAGTTGTTTGACCTTGTTTTATAAGCTTAGTCATATTGGCAGGAAGACCTAGATAAATGCACCTAGTACGGATTCCATAGTATGCATGACAATTTCCAGAGTCGGACCGTGGAAGTAGTACATTGCAAGACGTTTCGCCGGCATCGTCAGTGAGGCTTGCTAATCTTAGCACCATACTACAACTCTTCAAAGAGACAAGTAAATCCGATCCTTTGACTAATTGTCTGCTAAAAATTCGTGGTATCTCTCTGTCCGCCTTGGGCTATTCACCAATCCTATATCCTCGTATCACCCCTTCACTATTCCAACTTTTACTAAGTTATTTAAATGTGGTATGGTGTGCCCTTTTGGTCA